TACCATATTGAAAAATATACTATTTTTGTATGATAATTATGGGTTTTGTATTTTATTTTAATAGAAGTTGATGTTGCTTTTGCAATTATCCATCAATTTTTTAAAATTAAACACTATCTACAGATTTGCATCGAAGCGTTTCTTATGATAGTGATTTTAATCACTGTCAGATTAAATCTATACTGGACCCAACTATGCAATGTCTCCACTATGCCGCGACCCCACTGTGCTACCGTTTTTTATTTACATTTACTAATTAACTTGATTTAATATCTGACTTTTAATTTTCGTTATAATGAGTTAACAGTTAATAATAATATGAAGTCCGATAAAATGTTTGAATGAACTGAATTAAGTTGACTGTTTAACGCGATATATCGATGCACGTCGGTTTTTAATCTGCGATAGCAATTAAATTTTCTTAACTTTTTTCGTCTATATATTTATATTAATCTGTATAAAAAAACTTAGGTTTTCTCGTGTCAATATTTGCATTCGTGTCTATTTTCCGTGGATTATTTTAAATAATCTACTTTCTAGTGTTCGTTATTGTGAATTTATATTACGTTGATGGTATAGTACTCAAATACTACAACCAATAGCGTAGGCAGGACTTTTTAAAGGGATTTCTAAAGAGTTTTTTTTGTATTATATAATAGATAGCAAAAAATAAATTATTATATACTTTTACTACCGCCAAAGTATATAATGTTAATAATTATAATTGCCCTAAAGCCTCTTTTGCCTCCCTCTTCCTTTGGGTGTACTAATGACTATAGCATGATTTTATGACTTGTATAGCAATTTTATACGAGTTTTTTATAAATAAACAAGATAACACTATTGTATTTTAAGTACTAATTAGGTATTATACCCTTATAACTTAACAGATAATGATGATACATGAAACAGTCAAACTATGTTTTTCAATGTCAAAAATCTTGTGGAATAGTTACATTATTTATTTTAAAATATGTTTAATTTTAGAATTAAAGATAATATTTATAAAAATATTGTGGTAATATAAAAATGTTGAGCTTTTTATATTTTTTTACTGTTAACGACAATCACTTCAGTATCTATGTATGATAGAAACATAAAAATTACATTTTTTAAATCCTGATAAAATTTAATATAAGTTTAAGATAAAAAAGTTACAAAGAAAAAGTACACTTTCATTTTTGTGAAATGACTGACAAAATCAACTTTGAACACCAGGCATAGTGCCATTGATTTGAAATATAAACCTCAAATTTTGCAAGTTTTTCTTAAATATAACCTATTAAAGTTTAACATGGGGTCTTAAAATAAAATTGGTGAGCAATTATTTACGTAATTATATGATTTTTACTAATTAGAAATTATCTCAAAACTAGAAACAATCTGAACATTTGAAAGCCAGATTCGGAATCATCGACTAAATTTCATTAAAAATCTATTATTATATTGTTTGGCATAAAAAATTGTTGTGTAATGAGATTGTTAAAACTAAGTTTTTATAAATATTTTCTAGAAATGTTTAAATAACAACAATTTTTTTTAAGTTTAAACTGTGTTTTAAAAATTACGTGTAAGCATTTTTAAAAACATATAGGTATTTAGTCTATGTATTTAAACGTGTATTTCTTAGATAAAACTTACCGAGGGGAAAATAATTTTAAAGAAATTAATTAATAATTGTACACAATTTCATGTCTTTATTAATTCGATAATATCGTCCAACAATGATTCGATATAATATTTTTGTATTTAAGTTATTAATGAATGTTTATCTTGTTTTAGGTGCCATCGGGTCAGAGACAACAAAAATGACCTCTTGGGACTCTTATTTAGCGATGGCTACTTTTTTGTCGTCACCGGAAGAGTTTGTGGGATGGTTTGTTGGATTCGTTTCCTTGTTCACCACCAATTTAAATAGACCACTAAGGCTAGCATTAACAGAACCTTGTAACAAATTTGATAAAAAACAGTAAGTATTAACTAGTTACAAATTTTTCTTATACAATAGAATTTATAATATAGCCTAAGGAGTATACATAAGAACGGTTTATCTTTTCAGTAATAAATGTAAATGACAATTATTTAATTTATACAACTTTAACTCTTTAATTAAATAAATTTGTTTAAGTGAATAAATATTTTTTATAATAGGATATAAGTAGTTATATATTTAAGTTTTTATTCTTTTTAATTTAAATTTAAATATTCTTTGAGAATTTTGATCATATTAAAGTACGTTTTTACTATTTAATTTATAAAATAATTTATATTTCTTAAAAAATACTAGAGTAATAAGATAATTATAAAAAACAATTTAAGAAAAAGAACAAAAGAAATGTTTAAATATATCAGTAATGTCAGAAATAATGATAAATAGAGTAAAGTTAATATTTTCTCTTGAGGTCAATCAATAGCAAATCATCCAGACATGGTTTACGACCACCTCCAAAAATCTCGAAATTTGAATTAATTTTCTCTAATCTCTAAAAAAAAAAAATTGTTTTTGTTGGAAACTATAATTTTATGGTGTTCATACATAAAAAAAAAAGTAAAATAATCACCTTTATTCCAAATTAAAATTGCCTATTTAATTTTAATGTCATCAATATCAATCTTGTAGTACGCTTTATTTATCTCATTTTGTCTCTATTTATCTCTCATATTTGTTAATGAAAAAAAATTATTTATTGATTTATATATGACTAATAAAGCTTAAAAAACGACCATTTTTTTTTAATCAACGATTTTGATCCTAACATAAGTCTTTATAGATTATTTTTTCACATTTATTATAAAGTACATACACAATACCTCTATCAAGTTTAAAAAATTCATTTTTATTTTAAATATTTAAGTGAGTCTATAAAAATAAAGAATTATATACCATTCAACTAATAATGATTAATAAATAATTGTTTAATCCCACTCCTTAATCATATATACAACGCAACACAAACAACACTTCAGTAACTACGCTACGCCGTTATATTGTATTAAACTACATTAAACTACATTAATCATAATATGATTTATTATTACAAGTAATGTAACAATATTAAAGTACTTGAAAATAAAATTGTTTTTTTTTTTTAATTTTCTTATTTTATGAAAATAATTAAACGTGATAACTATAATCATATAAATGTTTTATATTCAAGTAATACTTACACAATATTTAATGGATAATATTTAAATAAAATAATGTAAAAATTTTTAAATTAGTAGTACAGGCTCTATTAGTAGAATAGGTGAAATTAATGTTAAACTTTTCATTACATAAAAATTTTTTTTTATATATTTCAATATACTATGTTAGAAACTATTATATCTTGTTTAGGGCTAAAACGATAAATCTAAATAAACTCCAAAGATCAGAATGAACTTGATCCATTAATGTTTATTTATACTAATAAATTTTGAACGTTTATATAAATTTATCAACAATTCTATGTTATTAATTTAAAATTGAAATTTTCATCATACAATTGTTTATGCATTTTTATTTTTATATCTGTTTAATTAGAATTAGTTATAGAAATATTAGTGTTGGAGATAATTGTAAAAAAACTATTTTTTGAATATTAAAAATTGTTACTAAATTTCTATGGGGAAAATAGGAACGAAATCCCAAAAATATAGCGTTAAAAGATTGAAAAATAATTCAACCCAAATATAAAGCCGAATAACTATATTGATATATGATATTTTGAAAAAATAATAATAATTATTGTAGCTAATGTTTTAAAATAAATATAAATATTATATATAGTTTATATTTTGATTATTGTTGACACAAATTAAAATGCAAGACCAATAATACAATAAAAAAAGTGAAAATTAAAATTGTATATAAATTACTCAACTAGCTTAAACTTTGTAAGGCAAGTCGCGTTCCGTGTTGCGCACTCGGTCTTAGAAAATAAATAAATGTAGTTAAGATTTTGTAATAATAATCAATAGCATGTCTTAGTAGGAAAGTAATCTATGAAACCAACACGTTATATCATACTGCATATCAGTAAAAAACACACTAGGAACAACAGTAAAATCATTGTGTTAACACTTTGCTTTGCGTGTTGACGTCATCCATTGATCGGTATAAATGATTTTTATCTTTGACGACAACCGAATGTATTTTGAATGTCGAAGTTTTCAATTCTAAGATTTTGTCTGATAGATAACACTTGGAAAATAGTAATCATTCGGATTTTATGTGTAATTATGAACTATTGTCGATGAACAGCAATGCGACCTTTCTACCGTTTAATTTAATTCTTTGCTATAGACGTTAAACGATTCATTTATACTGATTATTTGCCGTGAGGTCACTAGGATTGACGTAATAAAAATATCGTTGGATTTGTACAAACATTTATGTATTCATTGTGACAAGTACAAACGGTCCACCCGTTAAGATTACCACAGTAGTTAAAGTGACATTGAACATAAAATATTAAGTGTATCCTGTGACTACACGACTACCTGTAGCCGTTGAATATTAAATTTTATATTACTTCACTAACGTCGAATGCCTTGTGAATTTGTGTTCAAAGAATATTCTTGATACGTTTTAATAATGATTTACGAAAAGACATATTTTCTTTAAAAACACTTTCATTATCCCTATAATTTTCAGTGGGTTCATATTACTGTGTTGACAGTATTGTTTTACAATCAAGGCTAAATTGATGTCTTTATGTATGCAATTAAAATAAACGAAAACCCGTTTTCGTTTAAATGATTATTTTCTTTAGATAAAACCTTTCACGCAGAGCGAATACAGTACTCGTACACATTTCTCATCCCTTATAATCTGTATGAGCTCGTACCGAATAAGAAACAATAAAACAACATTTTTTTACTCTTTTCAAACGAATGTGAGTGTCTCATGTAAAAACTCAATCTTGGGAGACTACATATTAAATAACGAACGGCCAATTCGGTCAGGATAATGCGATTTATTACACCGTTTGACTGCAGTTGTTAAGATTTGCAGTCGGTGTAAATTATAGGTTTGCCAATTTAGTGTCGATGGACCGAACTAATGAAATATACGATTTATGTTAAATGTATAAATGTATAATTTACTATATATGCTCGTAAACCTATACATTCTCATAGTCATCAAGTTTATTTTTTTATGAGTTTTCTAGTCTATGAAGTAAATTAACTATACCAAACTAAAGAAATTATCTGAAATTTTAATAACGTTGACATATTCTTTTATTCTACCAACTTGAATATTTTTTAGTGTTACAGATTATTTAAATTGTAATTGATTTGTTCTAATTATGTATTATAATCAATAGTCATTTTTCTTACTTACCAAATTTGTCTTTTACACGCAAAATTAGAACAACAGTTTGTTATTTTGTTTTTATATTATAACTTTATTTTAAATATTGGCTCGATGCGAAGCTAAGAAGGTATTATTATTGAGAAGGTAATTTACTATGTTTTTTTTATTTTTTATGTATATATTTTTTTTGTCTGTTACCACTCATTCTCATCTCTCACTGGACCGATTTTGATGATTAATACGTCAAAATAACCTAATTTTAATTTAGTTGAACTAATAATCATCGAATATTGGAAAAATCCCTTAATTTAAAAAAATTTAGAGAAATATCTATTGTAAAAATAGCAGCTTCAAAAAAACATTTCTTTAAATAAATATATCAACACATAATAAGAATATAGAATTTGTTTTTATACTAAATTTCACAGTAAAATCATATCACTAAAATGAAATATTTTTTAATCAGCATAGACCAAAATATACTTTACTAACCATGTTTTTACGCTGATTTCAAATCTGTAATTACATTTTTTCTATCGCCTCTTTTTTGAGATTATTAATAATTTATAAAAACAAGTATTTACATTTAAAAATTGTTTTTTACTATATTAAAAATAATCGTGTAAAATTTCGATTAATCATGTCATGTTAAATCTAATTTGTTGGTTCTTTAGTGTTGATTTTCATGAACGCTTATAATTTAAAAATGTTGAACTTTTAACCTTCTTTTGGTTCATTTTAAGAGTTTGAAGTTGATATAATTAAATAGAAAATTTTATGAAGATTTAAAAATGGTTAAAAATAGCCAGGAACTTATATAATTACTATTAATAGTAAATTTATGAAAAAAACCCAAAATTTCGTTAAAGTCATTTATTAAATTTTTTATATTTATATCGTAATAAATCATTTCAACAGAAATACTAATCATTTCTGTGTAACTCGTGATGTTTAAATAGGTGCAATAATTGAAATATTTATAACTACATTCCGTATAGTTATATCCTATAGTTTTTAACTAATTATTAATAATTTCAAAAATTAGTAGTGTTGGAAAAATCTAATTGCAGATTTGAAATCAGCATGAAAAATGGATTTAGAAAATATATTTTTGACACTAATGAAAATTCCTTGTAAACTATTTACTCATAATTAATACAAATAATCTCCTGAAAAGTTTTGTATCTAGCCCTTTAATATTTATTTAGGTTTACCATAGAAGTAACAAATACTCTATAATTTATTTTTAATAACTCCGTAAAAATTATACTACATTGAAATTTCTATAATAGATATTCATTCATATATTATACTTATAAATCATAGAACTACTAATTAGGAATAATGAAAAAGATAGGAGTTGATGTTGCTATCATCTATATTTTTCCCAACAATGCCACATTCATACTGTGACACGACCCCACAGTACTTTCGTTTTTTGTTATGTTTTTCTTTAAAGTAACAAAATCCATAAACGGTTTAAGATAATAAAAAAAATCATTAAATATCTTGTATAACAAATATTTTCTAAACTTAAAGTAAATAAAGTATGGACATCCAAAAATAATACTATATATGTACACAAAATTATTTTAAATACTTAAAACTATAATTAATTATTTTATTTATTCTATTTACTTAAATTTTCTATCATTAATGTAATTGTTTTG